AAAGAAGAAAGAAAACCGCCTTTGCTACAACATTAGAGGAACCCAAATATCACTCTCATTACTGTGCCTGCAGGGTAAATATTGCTGGAGAAAGTCACACCACAGGGCAGACTGCATGCAGCATGAATTTAAGATAACTAGTCCCAGGTAACCACTTAATCCTACCTGGCAATCATTCTATCTCTCTGGCCAACTGGCTTTCTCACTCTTCCACAAGTATTCAAACCACTTGTATCATTCTCAAGCCTTTTCTCTCACCCAATTTCAGCAGCTGGCCTATTTCTATTTTATAGAAATAGGAGAAGGAAGGAAGGAAGGAGGGAGGGAGGGAGGGAAGGAGGGAAGAAAAGCTGGGCGGTGGCACATGCATGTAATCCCAGAAGTTTGAGAGGCTGAGGCAGGAGGATGGCACGTTCAAAGTCAGCCTCAGTAACTTAGCAAGGTCCTAAGCAACTCAGTGAGACCTATCTCAAAATATAAATAAATGGATGAATAAACAAGGGGATGGAAATGTGGCTCAGTGGTTAAGCACCCCTGGTTAAGAGAGAGAGAGAGAGAGAGAGAGAGAGAGAAAGTGCCAACCCACAAAAATTCCCCACAACCTCATCATCTCTCCCTTTCCCTCTAATAACTGTCCTTCTTTCAATATAAGACTATTCTTTTTACTTGTACTTTCTATCTCCTCTTCACACAGAATCTTACTAATATTATCCTTTTTTCTATAATATTCAGTTTTTCTCTCAACTTGATGCTTCTTAGAAACATGTTCAAAATTATTTTTCATTTATAATCAAAATGAGATACCCTTCCCTTGAACACCACATTCTCCCTTCTAAGTTTTCTATGCAGACACACTCATTTTCTGCCTACTTTCTATCCACCTTCCTTGTCCCCCACCAGTAATAAATGTGTCTTTATACAGAAATTCATTTCCCAGGCTCTGTAGCCTCAGGACCCTTACTTAATCCCATAAGATGGGAATAACTATACTAAAAACCTGTCTCATGGGACTGTTATGAGAATTAGATGAATCAATACACATAAAAAATTCAGGACCAAATCTGGCCCATAGGCATTGACCAATAAGAGTTAGCAATATCATTATTGCCAATAATATCTCATATCCATCTACCTGGCAATCAGCTGCAAGACTATCATGATGGAGTCACCCTGCATTCTCTCATCCCTCCATTTCAATCCATCTCAAGATGGACTGTTGTTTTTTTACCTCTCAAGTCACTCTGGTTCTGAACACTTTCCTCCCTTGCCACTTCTTACACCACACTGTCACATGGATAATGATAAGAACCTCCTAAATGATTTTCTGCATTTATTTTTATTCTTCCAAACTTTCTCCATACCATAGCCAGAATGACCATCTGGTGACCATCTGGTTATCATCTAGTTTAAAACACTTTCCATTGCTATGAAAGTATCAATGTACTGCATAGCCTGTAAAACCACTTAAGATTTGGTCTGTACTTCCATGTTAAAACTATCTCATCTCTCACTTCTTTTATCTAACACCTATCGAGCCTCTTTCTGATCTTTAAGTGCACTATGCTCTTGTTCATTCTACTGCTTTCCACTTTGTAGCCCCTCTACTCCAATATGGAATGATATTCCTACTTCTCCAAGTCTAATTAATTCCTACTCATCTTTTATGTCTTAGCTTAATAGTAGCTTCCTCAGGGAGCCTTTCTTGACTCTCCAGAATCAGTTCTCATTTACTCCATGTATCTTTCATTACTCTTATGAAAGCTGCAATTTCTCATTTATGGTATTATTTCTCCAACAAATTCCCCCAATAGAATCCAAGCTTCACAACAGCAATGATTATATCTCTTTTTGTTTTCTATTTTATCCCAAGTGCCCAATAAACATGTGGCATGTAACTAGGTTGAATTAATATATACTGGATCAACATTAAACTTCAACTTCAAAGTTGCAAAATAGCCTATTCTAATAATGGACAGATTTAAAAGAGTACAAGGACAAGCATATCACCAGTTCATTATCTGTGTGGCTCTTGACCAAAGTTAAAAGATTCTCTATTGTTTAAAGTTAATCACTTAAAAATGATTCTAATTAAGCAGTTACACAGGGAAAGGAAGAGGCAATAGAAGACTATTGTTTGGCTATTATTTTAAAGGAATGAACAAGCAGAAAATTGTATTTCACAGCAGAGGTGAGTTTTTCTACAGTACTGGTTCAAGCCTTTGTTCTATTCCAACAAACCTTCTATGACTGCTGGTACTACTACTACCACCACCACCCCAATCAGGGCCGATGACTCCAGCTCATCCATCACCAAGTGGCTCACAACAGAAAGAATTCTCAAGCAGGTGGAAAGTTTCAAAGATAGTAAGAATCTGAAATGGCACTCCTCTGGTATTCTCTGCCTTCCCCTTCCCTTTATTGATGTTTCTTCCCCCAAATAATTTATGGCAGGAAACAGTCATATGAAGGTAATTTGTATTTAATTTACAAATGTAACTTAAGGGCCCCTGTGCCCAGCAAAAGTGTTTTTCTAACTACCAAATTAAGTGTAGTGTTACCTAAACACATAAGTCTTGGGTAAGAAGAAGTGGTAATTGAGGAGGACACACAAGACCAATTTAAATGTTATATGTTACCCACACCCTGGAGGAATCTGTTTGGTAATATAAAACTATTTTATTATGACAACAAGGTTTAAAATATTAATCTCTAAAACCACAGAACTTGTGGTTCTACTGCTGCTACTACTACTACTATTACTACTAATACTACCACCACCACCACCCAAATCAGGGCCTATGACTCCAGCTCAGCCATCACCAAGTGGCTCACAACAGAATAAATTCTCAAGCAGGTGGGAAGTTTCAAAGACAGTAATCTGAAATGGCACTACCTATAGTACTGGCCTAAAATATCTTAATATCCATGTAATTGTAACAATAAAACTAATTCAACTGCTTAATAAGAAATTAAGAAAGTAATCTCTTTTAAGATTTCAAGATCTCTGAAAATTAATGTTTATGGAGCAACTCTCAAAATTCTGCAGATAGTATATCCACAGGTCTATTTTGAAACGAATTGCTGACAATGAGCCTTTCCACAGCAATTTATAAGTGATTCCATTAAAATTGTATAAGATGCTATATATGTAGAGGTTAACACCAAAGACAGATGAATCAGCTATAACTGAAAATACACACAAACAAAAAAATAATTAAATCTATATGTCTCCTCACCGTTTTCTAAGATCTACCAGGGCTTTATGCCCATTAAAAAACCATGCTCACATTGTGATATGCTAGCATTTCTTATTTTGAGAAATGCTGCTACCACCTAAGTTAGGACATGGAATCAGAACATGCAATTATAATTTCTGAAAAAATAACATGCCTAATTTATTATAACTCTGAATACTCAACTAAATATTTAAAGATTTTTTAAAAAAGGGATACTACCTCCTACTCATAGAATGAGACTTTCTTCAAAATTAGATTTTATAGCTGACATCAAAAACATGAGTTTATTTCCCTTAATTTACTTAAAAAATAAATTAGACTTTGTTTCTTTTTTAAAAAACTATTTATCCCCAATAGATACTCAAATCTGTAAATGACATGAAAATTCTCATGTGGTTAAAAAAAAGAAAAAACTACTCTTGATCTTTGTTCTTTAAAGCTAAAGTATTATTTCTAGAAATCATCAAATGCAATTCAATATCTGATAAAATGACTACCTTCTAGAATTTATCACTAATTTATCACTACGAGACATATTAATTTACCCATAATAAGTGACTACCTTCATATCAGCACTTTAGTTCCAACCTTTTCCAAAGGGATGGAAGAAATAAACAGTCCTCTCAGTGAAAAAGGCCACAAAATCAGGGCTAAGTAATCTAGCTAATCGGTGGTTAATTATACATTTTTCACAGATACTAAAGAAGAACACTGACCACTATGCCAGGAGAGTGTGTGTATCTGACATACATATTAATTTGGATACAATGGACATTCTCAATTAATTACAACTAGTAGAAATGATAATTTTTCTTAAGAAAGCCAATGCTCAAAGAGCTTTGCACAACACTGATTATCCCATTTTTATGTGCGTTAAAACGGAAAAATTCTCTTATTTAAATTGCCTAGTTGAAAAATGCTCTTTATGTAATAATGTTAATTAATCATGATTACTAAATATTGTAATAATGGCCTAATTTAATTTTCTGCACAATGTGGTAGGATTTTTTGTTGTCTGTTTTGTAATCACCAATACTCCACCCACATTCACACCCAGAGACTAAAGCAAATTATCATTCTTTAAATACTCTCAAATATAAAGCCAGACTTCAGGAAATACAGTATGAACACATAAGCCTCAATGTTAGAAGTTATTTGAATAATTACAAGGATCTCTGTAAATATCTGCTTGTCATTTAAGAACCAACTGTGGACGTCAACCAAGAAAGACAACGACACTGTTCAATATATATCCATTGAATTTTCCTAAAAGCTTTGATCAGGTCCCCCTAAATAGTTCATGCATGTCTCTGAGTGCAATCACACACGTTGATCTGGGATAGTTAAAAATGAAAATGATCAAGGTTCTGCTTGTCTAAAAATACACCAATCTGGTTTATCAATGTAAAAGCAAATCTGCAAAACTCAAATGTCAAATGGTGGGCTAAGGTATCATAACAGAGAATCTGATAGGTTCCTTAAGATAATACCAAAAGGGAGTCTAATCCTTCTCTCCTGGGAGAGATACTTAAGAAGGTGGATGACAGGACTCCGCGACACCCACACGTCGGTCACATCGTTTTCTCCCCCAACCTCACCTCACTCTCTCCTTCACACATATACACTCACTCTCCCATCACATTCGATGCCCAAGTGCCCCAGTGGGCAGTTTTCTAGGGTCGTTTCACTGGTGCGTTAAATGGGATCTAACGCCCCCCAGTAGCCTGGGATTGAATGCCATCGCTGCCAGCCCCCAGGACTCACCTCTAGCTTGTGATTGATTTGGGACACAGTCTGGGCTTTGTGGCAAAGCTGCGCGAAGCAGGAGCTCAAGCTGGTCATCTTCTGTCGCCCCTCATAAGTGATGTCCGCTTGGTCAGGATCGATCTCTCCCAGAAGCAGATCCACATCCACAAAGGCCTTGTCGAACTCCTTCTCCAGCACCTCCAGCCACCGGAACATGGATACCCCGCCGGGAGAGACCCCAACAGCGCAGGAGGCGCCCCCTGGGCCCCCTCCGGCTCCTGCCGGGCATGGGCCGCCCGCCGACATGGCGCCGTCTAAGGCCTCCCCAGACTGCTGCTGACCCTCGTCAGCCACACACCACGCGAGGGGAACTGCTGGGACTACCTGGACCCCAGCGCGCGAACACACGGGGTTCCGTCAGTCCCTCCTTTCCTCTCGCGCCGCTAACGCCGGCAATGCAGTCCCACGGTGGCAGAAGCAGCGAGGACAGGGCAGCTGCGGCCGCACACGGAAGACTCGGGCTGTCCCACCTCCCGGCCCGCCCCCGCTGCGCATGCGTAGAGAAGAGCCGGGCGGGCGGAGACCGGAGGGACGAAGTGGGCGGAGCCGAGATGCGACCTTGGCCTATGACAGGATTCGGCCCGGGACCAGTCTGTCAGCGGCCATATTGACAACTGATTCCCAGAGAAACGGAGGAGCATGGTGTCTGCTTCCAAGTTGGAAAGACCTGAAGGAGAGAACCGTGTCCACGTCGCAGAAACGAATGGCTTTCGCCAGTTTGACTTCACAGTGGGCGGGAGCGGTTCCAAAGCCTCCTGGGAAAGTTGCTGCAGTGGCGTCCAGGGGCAGAAAAGGGAGAACAGGCAAGGGCGGTGTGAGCATGCGCTGAGAGCCACGTTTTACCTTTTCCATTCCAGTTCCTGTTTAGGGTGGGGTGGGTGGATATCCAGGCTCTTCTTGGCAAGTCGCGTTCTACATTCCAGTTAGGACTTCCTAAAGCTGCCTGTTGAAGCTGGCTCACCAGGTTTTGCTGATTAAAGAGTCAGACAGGCCTAGGTTGAAGTTTTTACACCCCATCATGTAGTGTCCTCCACACCTAAGTTGTATTATTTAACCTGTAATCCTAGTTTCCAAAATTTATTTCATTCAGCACAAAGGTAAAATGTTCAGCTTCGTTGCTTGGCAGATGGTATTAATCTTATTACACCATCGGTTACACATTTCTAAAGCAACTACTTTACATGGCGTAATCATTTTTAAAACAATTATTTTTTAATGTTCCCATTAGTGACATTTCAGAAAAACAAATGTATGTGGACAAAGAGGAAACACTTGGAAATGATATTGGCCAAATTATTATATTTTGTGCGTGCAAGACTATGTAACAACAAAATCCACCATTATGTTTACAATGCACCAATAAAATACGGAAAAAATTATGAAGATTCATATATTCATAAATATATTGAATACAGACCCCAGTTGAGGCATTAAGGACACAAAAACTAATGAAACATGACCTTTACTCAAACTGAGCTCAGGCTAGTGAGGGTAGCTCTCACAACGACAACTTTAAATTTTGCATGCATTTAGGAGCATGGAGCAACTGCTCTTTGCATTCCACCTACTCTCTCTCTCTCTCAACCCTCTTACAGTCCAAGAGTACAAAGTGTTGGAAAGGGAAGGAGAAACCAGTCTGATTAGAGTAGGCTGGTAGAAATTGTCTTTCCTGCATTGCCTAGGGGAGTATTTAGGGACTGAGTACAGAATCTTCTGTGATCCATTCTTGGGACAGACCCTTCTATAATTAATCATCAACCAAAGCTTGTACTGTGTGCCCCTCGCCAACGCAGCACCAAAGAGAAACAAGAAATCATAGCTTCAGTTTGCACTTTGATTACTTCAGCTGCTGGTTAGCATCAAGCAATAAACTTCTTTGGCTTCAGCAAACTTCGTTTAGCAAAACTAACCATAAGATCCTTTCCTTGAGCTTCACACAGGTCTTAATACACTAGAAACAATATAAAATTAAATTTTACATCTCACCCCGTTTTCTTCCAAAATTATCTTTATTTTCATCTGCAGTGTTTGCAAGAATCATTGCTAGAGGTACCAGACTCCCCACTTTCTCTACACTTAGCAGTGCATTTTCAGGAACTTGAAGTAAAAAGTTAAAAATTTGTGGGAAAGGGAGGGAAATTAAAGGGAACCTTAATAATAACAACTTTCAATCATTGGGTATGTAATATGTGTTAGGCATTGTCCTAAATGCTTTACTTTGATCCTCACAAAATCCTGTCAGGTGGATATCATCACTTTTTTAATAGATGAATCACAGACTGCTTAAGTATCTTGGTAAGGTCACACAGCAAGAAAGTTCAGTCTAGGAAATTTTTACTCTAAAATCTTTGCTGTTAACCATGGGATACAGAGAACTGAGGGAATCCATTTCTTCTTGCATAAGTTTCCAGTATAATAAATTAGCAAGTGAGTTCCAAAAGATTTTTTCAAAAAATTTCTTCCCAGTTATAAGCTATATACAAATCTAATAACATATAAGAAATATTAATAAAGAGTAATTGCAGGGCTGGGGATGTGGCTCAAGCGGTAGCGCGCTTGCCTGGCATGCGTGCGGCCCGGGTTCGATCCTCAGCACCACATACAAACAAAGATGTTGTGTCCGTTGAAAACTAAAAAATAAATATTAAAAAATTCTCTCTCTCTCTCCTCTCTCACTCTCTCTTTAAAAAAAAAAAAAAGTAATTGGATACCCATTTTCTATTACTCATGGCTCTCTGTAGTTTATATAGCCCACACTTGAATATAATCTTTAATTTCCAACTATATTGTGTGGGTGCAGCTGAGCTACACTTTAAGTATTTATGTGTCCAGTGCTCTGATGGTTGACGCATACCCCTATTTTCAGAATTGCAGAACCCAACTCCACTTCTGTTACAATCTCACAAGTCACACCCTCTGTGTTGAAAAATAATTTCTTGTCATTATCCTTTCTGCGTAGCAGCTGCTGTATTCTTCTGTGYTTGCCGTCTTGTTACTACATGACCATTTCAAATGTTCATGAGATGCTTTAATATAATTTTTTGCCCACAGAAATTGTGGTTTTGCAATTCTGCAAGTCACAGCAGAACATAGAAATGGAAAAGAGGGCTTGGTATTCAAGTGCTGCCATCTGTTGTCAGTGTACTCTATCTACATTTATTGTCTTCACCTTAGAAACTTGGAATTGTACTTAATCTCTGTACTTGTGTAATTTGATTTCCAACAGATTAAAAAAAATCTTGACACTTATATTTGTAGTTGGAGTGGCATAAACTTCCAAAAACTGTTTCATAAATTATGCTTTTGTGATTTAAAACAATCTAATATAACTAAAATATGACAATCTTATCCCTACACAGTTTTGCCATTAAAAACAAATAGGACCTGGCATGGTGGCTAATGCCACCAACCACTCAGGAGGCTGAGGCAGAAGGATTGCAGGTTCAAAGCCAGCCTTAGCAATTTAGTGAGACTGTAAGCAACCTAGTGAGACCCTGTCTCAAAAATAAAAAATAAAAAGGGCTAGGTTGTGGCTCGGTGGTTAAGCACCTTTGAGTTCAATCCCTGGCACCAGGAAAAATTTTTAAAAGGAACAAATAGGGTAGGAGACTGAGGAAAATGAGGAAATAGAGAAGATACTTAAAGTTTCTTTGATGGGTGTTGGTCATTAGTTGTGAAATATAAAGATACTTGTAGAGCACCATTAACTTCAAAGACACCATAAACAACATATACCCACCTTGGACAGGAGAGGGAGACTATCAATTTATTCACCTCTTCTATGTTCCAGGTTCTTTGCTAAGCTTCACTTGTTTCAATTAATTTCCAGTAACTCTAAAAGACAAAGGAAAAGCAGTTATTAAGTGTTATTGGTGGTTATAAAAAGATGTATGATGAATGACTATAGTCAAGAAAATCCACTGCCACTTTACTTGAACAATGTGGGACAATCTTGGAATATTATGCTTATATGTATTATTTATATTTATTAAATTTATTATTTATGTTTGCAAACAATTTGAAATAATCATGCTAAAGAAGTAAATTTGAGTGTTCTAAAGTGATTTATTATCCTCATTCTCCTTGTTATTTTTAATATAATGGGATAATTGTTTGTTCCCTGGTTTATAAAACTTGAGAATTTTCGTGGAATGATTTAAGAGTAGCTTAGATACCTTCTTACTTCTCATGTGAAGCTATGGACTACATCACTATTTAGTTTTTTGCAAATATCTGCTGTAGCAATTGTCATATTCTTTTGGAGCCCCATAAACTACAAGCCCCTTACTTATCTGTATCTTGCTTATCTTGGAACCTTAGGTGCTAACACAGGATCTGGAATGTAGCAGGAATGTTATAACTGTGGAATAACTTCAGTAATGAGATTTTCCAGCAATATATGTAGGAAATTCTACAGTCGCTTTTTAAGACATACTTTAGATACATGCTAGAGAACATAGCAATGTAGACTTTGATATTGTCTTGGGGGTTAGGGATATCTATAAAATACTCATCAATTTCTAAAATTCAAGGAATATTTTTCTCAACCAAAAAAAGATGGCTTACTTTAACAATGATCTGGCTTATTTGACTAACAAGTCAAATATAATTTAGATATCAAAAATTATTTTACCTATTTCATAGTTAAAACAGATACTACATTTTGTATGGTATAGTCAAACCTAAAAACAAAACTATTTTAATCCCTGTTACTACAGTTGTATTACTTTACAAGATTAAAGATAGACTCTAAATGCTTTTCCACTGTTGCTTGATCTACATTCACATTTATCCTTTCCCACAGCTCCAGGTTTGATTCAGCATTATTGAGAAACACCTTTTATCAACAACGATATTAAAGTTTACTACTTATTGATTCTTCTTCTTTCACCTACTGCCAAGTCTTTGTTTATTTCTCAGATTGTCAGACTTTACAGATCAAACACATACACCCCCCACTAGCCTTTGTCAATTATGGTTTTTATAGATTAGTCCTACAAAGACCTCCCAAACAGGTTAATTCTAAGCCCTCTCAACATTAATTATCTTTTCTTTGCACTTTTATAAAAAAAATATATAAGAATAAATTATCTGGTTAGAATTTGTATAGTCTTCTAAATTAGCAAGTTAGAAAAATTATAGTGAAACAGTTACACAAAAAGTCATGCCACAACAGTTGTTGGAAATATATTTGTTTTGTCTCTAGTTGGTTGTAACTTACTAAAAATTTGTTTGGTTTTTGTGGCCTTGGCGAGCAGAGTGAATGAAGGCAAAAAGACTTGTCTAATGAAAATTTGTCACTACATATGGGGACTGTCTATATTTGAACTCCCTTCCTCTGTGTAGGGAATTTCCTACCTTGTGTATCTCCTTGGTAGGAGATAGAGCCCTTCCATAATGAACAGGAAATGTAAATCCCTTTCCCAGCTCTGTGACAGCTGGACCAAGGCTCAGCT